CTTTCAGGATTCGACGGAGTGCAAGCTTTTCCAGAGGGGTTGGGAAACCTCACTTCCCTTAGGACATTGAATCTTTCAGGATTCAACGGAGTGCAAGTTTTTCCGAAAGGGTTAGAAAACCTCACTTCCCTTTGGACATTGAATCTTTCAGGATTCAACAGACTGCAAGCTTTTCCGGAGGGGTTGAGAAGCCTCAATTCCCTTGGGAGATTCAATCTTTTAGGATTTGACAGAGTGCAAGCTTTTGTGAAGGGGTTGGGAAACCTCACTTCTCTTGGGACATTGAATCTTTCATGATTCGACGGAGTGTAAGCTTTTTCGGAGGGGTTGGGAAACCTCACTTCCCTTGGGATGTTGAATTTTTCAAGATTCGATGAAGTGCAAGCTTTTCCGGAGGGGTTGGGAAACCTCACTTCCCTTGGGACATTGAATCTTTCAAGATTCAACCGAGTGCAAGCTTTTCTAGAGGGTTTGTGAAACCTCACTTCCCTTGGGACATTGAATCTTTCAGAATTTAAACGAGTGCAAGCTTTTCCAGAGGGGTTGGGAAACCTCACTTCTCTTAAGCAATTGATGCTTTCAAATTTCAACGGAGTGGAAGCTTTTCCATAAAGGTTGGGAAACTTTACTTCTCTTCAACTACTTCATGTTTCTTATTGCAAACATCTAAAGCCTCTGTTTCCACTCCAAGCCCTAAAATCCCTTTTTGTGTTAGAGATGGGTCCTTTCTGCTCAGAGTTGGAGGAGTACCTAGGACTCGATTGTATCCATCACCTTCATGCTTCCTTGAAACATTTAGGATTGGCAGGATGGGAAAAAGTAAAGTTTTTGCCACATCAGCTTCAGCATCTCACTGGCCTTGAGTGATTGACTCTAGAAGAATTCAACGGAGTGGAAGTTTTACCAAACTGGTTAGAAAACCTCACTTCTCTTGGAGAGCTGGTGATTAGAAATTGTCATAATTTGAGGAGTATGCCATCTGTTGAAGCCATGCAACGCCTCTCCAATTTAATATTTCTTTATATATTTGAATGTCCCAAATTAGAAGAAAGATGCTCCAGAGATGGAGGAACCTAATGGTTCAAGATTTCTCACATTCCCCAAATCATAATACGTGGGCAATAGGGATGACCACGAGGTTTGGAAGAGTAGGTATGTTTAAGTTGTCACACCTTAATCCCTCCATTTATACCACAATTGCAAACTCCTTGTTTTCTTTATCTCTGAAAACAGAGTTAGGGTTCCAATAAATTTGTAGAAAATAACTCTCTTTTTTTTTTTCCTTTTTTCTTTTTAAATTTCAAACTTCTACTTGTTGATCAGATCTGTTCATTGAATAATCAGGTTGAGCAGTTGAAGACATCAACAAGCCTTCTCCAAATAATCATCTAATGGATGTTCTTTGGAAAGCTTTCTGATATAAAGACGCAATGAGGAGAAAAAAACAAGGGATTGCACAAACGCACATTTTGTCATTTTTAAGCTTTGTTTTTTTACCCAAAATCCTGCTTTTAGATCTCAGATTTTTATTTTACTTTCTTTTTAATTGATTGATCATTTTTTATCCCTCTCTTCAACTATGTTCATCTATTTTATTTCTTCTACAAAATAATAATAATAATAATAATATAATGGAGGCAAGTATTTCACTGTAATGAAGGTCAATTCAAGTGCACTTGAAAACCTTAAAGAGTTCCACACATAACGGCTGATGTGCAAACTGAACATTCTCCAGTGGCTTTCTTGTGTTGGAAAGCTTTGGAGGATCTAAAAGAGGCTCAAATAATGTCTCCTCTGTCTGAGTCTAAGCCAGAACTTTGTGTAGTTTTGTCTTTATACATTGCAATCATATGTTCTTAATATAATTTTAATTTTCAGTTTCTAGACTAAATAATTTTTAAGTATAGAAGCTATCGTTTTCAGGTTAGAGCTGGCACGACTTCCATAGGTACCGAGATAATGACTCTTTTTGCTTCTTGCACTTCCGCCAGGAATATTTTTCAGCGAACAGCTTAATTTTAAGCTTAATCTTAACGAATGTTTGAATCTCTGAGTTAAAGATCTTTTATGCTTGAATTTAACACATGCTTGAGTCATGTGTGCTTGAAAGGACTTTAGGGTTCCAAGCCAAGCAAGTATGTAAATACTAAATCCCTACTTCACACCATGCGTGAAACTCTCTTAGCTAAAACTTTTTCTAGGTCTCTCTCTTCTTACTCTTTGTTCATGTTTCTCATTAATAGATGAGTCCTCGAATTCCTTCTTGTGTTTCTCTTTCAAAAAAATTTATTTGTTCTTTTTTTTTTTCTTTTCATTTTTTTTTCCTTTCCAATTGCATAGCACTATATTTATTTGTATTGAGTACTTTGTTGACACATCTTTTTATCTTTTATTTGAAAATCAGGTCCTTTGTTATCTTCATGATTCTTCAGCATCAAAATAGTCTCCAGTAGCCATCACCATAATAGTCAACCAATGCATAAGGGAAAAGAAACAGAGTATTGCTTGGACACACTGAGCGTAAAGCTTGATGGAGTGAAGCCTAGCAAGGGTGATAACCAAAAGCTTTCATTTTTTTATTTTATTTTATTTTATTTTAAGGTTTTTTCTCTCCACCATCCGCATTTAGATTTTGAGTATGATTTTTTCTTATAATTTATTTTTTTGTTCAGCTCTAATTTGTTCATATATTTTCTTAGAAAAATTGTAGGCAAGGAAATTCTCCTGCTTTGAATTCAAAATCTTGAAGAATTGAGGCTTATTTTCTCATTGGAGATCCAAACCAACGAGTGGTCCCCTCTTTAAGTTGTTGATCCTCATGAACAGATTTAGCAATTCTTCAGTGATATGGTCCTCAACTGATGGCGGCATTTGAGGTGCAAGATTACCAGTATAGACATCCATCTTTTCTTATTCTTGCACAACCTTTATGGAGTTAGTTCTGATAGGATCTTTTATTTGATTACTATTTTGAAATTTGTAACTAAGGCTGAAGTTTGCAACTAGGAAGTATGTTCTCATCTTGATAGAATATTATTTAAATGTGAATTGGTGTCTTCTGTTATAGGCCTTGTCTATTGGTAAGTACACTTTTTGTTCTGAAGTTGTTCCAGAAATTTGCAGCAGAAATTCATCAATTCCTTGAATTTAAATGAATGGACAATGAATCCAGCAATTACATGTAGGTGCGATTAACGTGTGCTTGAAATATCTATAATGTTACAAGCTCAATTAATTTGTGCTTGAAATATCTTCCATGACAAATGTTTGGTCTGCTGTGCACATTGAACCCTTATTTCTTCAGTGGCTTTTTCTTACGTAAGCCTAAACCAGAAAGTTTGTCTGGGTTTGTCTGTCTTTGCAATCATATGTTCCCTTAATAGATCTACAATTTTGATCATGTTGAACATTATATCAAAAATTTAAGCATAAAAGTTAATTCCATTTCGGGTTTGAGATTCTGGTGTTTTGCATTTTCTACCCTGCTTCTCACTGTTTGGGACCAACTAGACACCTCACAACTTCTGGAATTGCAGTATTTTAACAACATGCTTTATTCTCCTTACTAATTCTGATTCCTATTCTTTCATAGCCCTTTTTCCCTCATCAATTAAATCCCTATATCTTGTGGTTAATCTGCAGCAAATATTCTTTCTGAGTGGGTGCTTAAATACTTCAAAAACATGGGGATACTCGTGAAGTGAAGAAAGACACCCATGCCCACATTAAGTCCAACAATATTTCTCCAATGGGACATCAGTTGTATGGAGACAAAGGGGCCTCGCTTTCGGTGGGAAATGAGCTGTTGGATTTTAAGAATGGTTTTGAGTTTGTTGAGGTGGGTCATAAACTTGTCTAGTTTGAGATCTCGTTCTTGTTTCTAAGCGAACCTGAGCCGAAACAACTGGTTTTTCCCGATCCATCTCCTTTGGGAAAATGCGTTGAATGGGCCGAACGAGGTTTTCAAGTCCCTTGAGCTTTTAAAAGGAATCATCTTTTCTGATTCGTATACTTCAAAAAGATCACGAGCTATTCATACCATAATTTTTAGACATTTAGTAAATGAAGCTCTCTCCTGCCCATATAGCAATGCAACTCAAGCAATGAAGGTTACCTTAATAAATCGAAAACCATATGTGTCTATATGTATGTCCATATCTATATAATGAAAAAAATACAGAGGTAAAGGAATCTCCAGCTTTTCAATAATGGAAACAGAAAAATTAACTACTTATATCATATAAATATATATACAATACAAAGGAGCTTTGTAAAGGAAATCAATCGTGCTAAGAGGAAGCGCATGATGATCCCTACTTAGATGAGCGAATGGAAAAACCGCAACCGGGAATGATGATTCGGCAAGATGAATACAATGGGGTTCAAGTAGAGTTGGAGCAACCTTGACGCAGCTGTCCTGGGCTTCACTCTGTTCTGCCAACGATATTAGAGGTCCGGGTAGTAATTCGATCAACAGTCACTAGAACAATGCCGAATTCCATGAAAACTTCTAATGAGCATTTCATCGAACAACATCTGTGCACTTCAAGCCTTCAAAAAATAACTAAGATCGAATTTGGAATGTACCTGCAGCACCTCTGATATTTAGCGTTTGAGAGTTGGAGAAAATCTGATTCTAATTCCAATATTTGCAATGGCCAAAGAAAATCTGATGGTAAGGTTTCGCTGGCTGTGACGTAGCAGGAGGAATCCAAGTGGAAAAGTTTCCTTTGGTCAATTATTCACCGTATGGCCCTCCTTTGTTACTTGTGTCCAGAAGCAATATCTAGGACCAGGAAGCCTACATTTCTTTTAAGCTGGCTTAGATTGCGTTTGGGTTGCTTTCTCACTGTATTTTTTTTTTTTTTACACAGTATCTTATAAAGTATTAATTTATTATAATTAAATTAATTTTAATTAATATTTTATATAATTTTATGATTATATTAATATATAAATTTTTTTAAAAGTAATTATTAAATAATAATATAACTTTGTTCATATTAAAATATTAAAAAACTTACAGTTATAATACTTCACTAAATTTCAAATACAACATTATTCTTAAAAACAAATTTGTAAATACAACGAGTGGAATTAAGAAGCAATTTGCCACAAAAAGAAATAAAATGTATATTTTGGATAATAATTGATTATAACTCAATATAAGGGACTTTGTGGGGGGTGGGGGGAAGCATATTCTGACAAAAAAATCTGGAAAATTTTCTTGATAAAAAAGCAATTGCCTTTTATTTTTTTTTGAAAAGGGGTACAAATATGGGGGTGGGGGAAATCGAATCCCAACCCTCAGATTAAGAGATGCACTTTCAAACCGACCTATAACCGTTGAGCCTCACGGCTCGAGTGCAGTTGCCTTTTATTTTAGTTGGTTATATTGCTTTTAAAGCATTTATTACTCATTACAAAAGAAATCTAGATTTATTTAATGGTACAGATTAATAGTATATTAATTATTTTTTATTAATTTATATAAAAAATAAAAAATAAAATTTATTTTTAATAACAATAATATATGTATAATTTTAATTAAATAATTGATAAAATTAAAATAAATTTTTATTTTTTTATAACAATTATTTAAAAAGAGATAATTAATACATCATGTACTTTTAGAATACAAATTAAAAAAAAAAAAAAAAACCTAACAACTATGATCAACTACTTGTTTTTATTATTTTTGTGCTCAAAAATTAAATTTTAAAACTCAAATTCAGCTGTTTTTTCACGCAGCTTCCTCAAAAATTGCTTTTGGAGTGCTGGCAACCAAATATGCCCTCAAAGTAGAGAACAGGGCTATCTTCGTCAATTTAACAATGTGCCATGGGCTGGACTAGGGGTGGACATTGGTTCGGTTCGGTTGAAATCGAACCTAAATTGATGGTTTTTATCGGTTGATTATTTTGTAAAATAACAACCAATAACCGAACCAATAATATTTTGGTTATTTGGTTTTGTAACCGAATTAATTGGTTCGGTTGGTATCGGTCTCGGTTTTTTAACCAATTCTAGCCTTAGACTTTCTTGGGTTTGGGCCTTCCGTTTTTGTGGCCCAAATTTCCTACAATGTTTGATGATCCATTTTCTTCAATTTTTTTATCCAAATAAATATCCAAAGCCATCACATTTCCCAAGTGCCAAATCCAAAAAAGAATCAAAAGTCGTTCAAGCATATCCCAATTTCTGAAATCTCAAGGTTGTCAACACCAATGCAAAAGTAAAGAAATCCCATTTTAAATTCTAATCCAGCCTTTTCCATAAAAAAAAAAAAAA